CTCCAGCAGGTCGAGGGAGGTGATCCTGCCCCTCTACTCAGCCCTGGTGAGGCCACATCTGGAGTATTGTGTCCAGTTCTGGGCCCCACAGTACAAAAGGGATGTGGAGCTGCTGGAGAGAGTCCAGCACAGGGCTACAAGGATGATCAGGGGCCTGGAACATCTGCCCTGTGAGGAGAGACTGAGAGAGCTGGGCCTGTTCAGCCTGGAAAAGAGAAGGCTGAGAGGGGACCTGATCAGTGTCTATAGGTACCTCAAGGGAGGCAGTGTAGAGGATGAGGCCAGCCACCAAAAGTTCCCCAGAAACTTAAGGAAAAATTTCTTAACAGTGAGGGTGACAGAGCACTGGATTAGGTTGCCAAGAGAAGTTGTGGAATCCCCTTCTCTGGAGATCTTCAGAATCCACTTGGATGCAGTTCTCTGCCATGTGCTCTACGTGACCCTGCATGTGCAGGGGGGTGGGACTAGGTAATATCTAGGGGTTCTTTCCAACCTTAACAATTCTATGATTCTGTGATAAACTATTTGATTTCATAGCTGAAATTAATCTGGACACGTTAACCGTGGACCTCGACAGGTTGAAGAGTTGGGCAGAGAGGAACATCATGAGGTTCAACAAGAACAAGTGCAGGAAGGAATAACCCCAGGCACTAGGACAAGGTTAGGGGCTGGCCTGTTGGAAAGCACAGATTCTGCTAAATAAGGCCAGACACTCTTAGTTAGGCATGTGACTAGTAAAGATACTAGAGGGGGAAAAAAAAAGATAACCTTTCACATGTTCTGGGAGAAAAACATTTCTTTCTGTCATTTTTTGGACACTGAATTCAAAATACTTTGGGATGAAGAACTCCCTGTGCATTAAACGAACAGCTGAATCATCTGAATACCTTTAGTATTTTAGATAGTCCTCCTTGGCAGTTTTATATTTAATCAAAATGTATAAGGAAATTTTTTTGAAAGGTACTAGAATATTGATTTTAATTAGTTGTTATTGAAAGCTTTAAGCTACATGTAAGTGTTGTTTAATTATAAAATACCTCCTCCAAAAATGCATATTAAAGTAACTTGGTCTTTTTTGGAGATTTCCTGGGTTTCCTGTAAGTTTTATATTACTTCGTTTTATACTTTTAATGTCAGGTGGTTCAGGGGCCTGGATCATCTTTTCTGCTTTTCCTTTTTTTCTTTTTTTTTTTCTTTTTTTTTTCTTCTTTGAGAAAATTAAAGTCATTTGGAAGTTGTTGTAGGTAGGTTGTTTTTTGGGTTTTTTTCCTGCATTACAGATTGCAGGTGGTGCTTTCGAGGGGTAGCCAAGCCAGAGCACTCTGTGAGGCACCTCACCAAATGCCTTCAGCGCTCCTGAGTTCTTGTGTGGGTTTCCAGACGATATACCCAAAGACAAATCTAGCATGCTAATTTATACTGCTAAATTTTATTTTTAAAGTTGGGTGTTGTGAAACTGTGCTTTTGTGTAATTCTTGGTAAGCAGAGACCCAACTTAGTATTTTATCAACTTTTGAATAATACCAATAACTACCGGTGAATTCAGGGAAGACTGGGCAAAAGCTGTCACTACTGGGCCTTGAAAGAACATTCAGATTAAAGTTGATGGAAATTAGTTTATGTGCATGAACTTGTTTTGTATTAGAATGACAAAAATAAAATATGCATAATCCTAGCAAGCTGTAAAAAGAATTTAACCTTTCCTTTTGAAATCTCTCTCAGTGAAGGAAAAGCATCTCCCAGAATCGAATTGCTTCACAACATAGACCCCCTGTTTGTGGATGATTTCCCATGTGAGTATATTATTGGTTTTTGAAAACTTATTAAACATGTAGTTTGTCTTCCTAATGTTCCATGTGTTTTCCTTTAACAAAGTATTTTGTTCCAGGTGAAGCAAAATAAGAGTAGGATGCTTTCTGCTTGCAAATTGCTTAGCTAAAAGATACAGGAACACCATTCCCAGGCACCATAAATACATCCAAAATCATGATCCCCACACAGTCCCCATTTCACAGAGCTCTGACTCTGAGATATAAATGAAGCCCCTTGGGACATGAGGTTGTTGAGGGACAGCCATGAACCTGAGGTTCACAGGGAGGACCACTGCCAAAAAACTCAGACAAACAAAGGACTTAGTAGGTAGTTCTTATTGAACTGCTATCCACTCTTGGTACATCTGTATGACATGATTGTGTTACTGACTTTGAAAATGGGAAGCCTGACTTTGCATGAGGCAAAGAAGTTCCAGGCTTCGTGGTTGTTTTTGTTCTGTAATCACAGGAATTGGATCTTTCACTTGAGCTGGAGCTTAAGTTTGCCAGTTGTATAGCTTTCTAAACATGGTCTGTTTTATGATTCAACATTATTAGTTTGCTAAGGACTACAAACTCTTCCAGCAGAGATTTTTTTCATGCAGAACATTTGAATGTATCCTTTCCAGTGCTTTCATAGCATTCCTGTGTTTCATTAAGTGAAGTAAAACCTGACAGAGGGAAACTATGGATAATGGTCTGCAGGCAGGTAGAAGTTGCTCTCAACTAATTTGACGGAAATGGATAAGGTGATCCTCTGCAATGCATGTCTAGTTTTGTGGTGCTGCTCTGAGAAAGAGCAACATTGCAGGTATTTAGTGCTGGCTGGACAGCAGTGCCTGCAGATAATTCCTACATACTGATGGAATTAAGGCGTAGCCTCTCCAATTTCCCTTCAAAGAGTGCTCAATGAGTTGTAGCATTCCTGTATAATGCTTGGCCCTGATGTGGTATTCTGAGACATACTTCAGAGACTACCTTTTTGCTTATGGGCACTGTCATGAGTGAGCTCAGCTGAGGTGTTGGAATAGACAACTTCCCGACTTAAATACGAGGTGCATGAGAAAAGGAAGCGCTCAGGAGTATAAGCTCAGGAAGTGCTTTCCCAAATGCATTTAAAAACTAGAGTCACATTAAAAAAAAAAAAAAAAAGGGTAACTTTTTACTAGTATTTCCTTATGCACCATGCAGGATTTCTCTCTCCTCAGCAAAGACAGCTTTGGCAACTTTCCTTACTATCAACTTTACTTTCTGCCATAATAGCACTTACAGTCAAAATCAGGCAGTGCTCAACTGCATATACGTGGTTCTTCATTTTGATTTTATAATAGCATTTTCAAAGTACTTGAGAGCAAATAATTGTGTTACTGATAGATTTGATAAGAATATTTTTGTCATGTGTAACAGTGATCTAAAACTGTATTTCTCAGATCACCCTTCTTCTAAATAAACTGAATCATTTCTAAAGCAACAGAGCATGTTAATTTACAATTCAGTGCTGGGGGAGAAGAATCCAGATTTCTTTATACTTGAGTTATTATCATAATGTGCTTAATTTCTTAAAAATTGATCAAAAGTTTGAATGATTTTTTGCTTTACAGATGGGTCATTTTATTAATGGGACATTTAGGATGCTGTTTTTGACCAGGATAATCTTGCCTTGGCTGTTTATTGTCTCCTTGTCCTGTTTTGAGATCAAAGTGATCATTTGTCTATGGTTTAAAGTACATACATACATGTTTTGTTCAGCTCCTTTTCACCTTCTGTGCTGATTACTAAGTCTTTTGGCCTCTTTATGACCGTTTTGCACATGAACTGTCCAAGTCTATTTAAAATTTCACTTAACCTAATGCCATACGGTGTGCCCATATTGTACTAATATTTTCTTTTCTGTAGAAATTGAAACAGAAAATAATGACTGGAAGATGTAGATCAGCCAAACCTTTGGTTTTACAGAGTACTACAGAGCAGCAAATAGGAAATTGAATCTCAACATTCTATTAAACATAACCAAGAAAAGTCTTTCAGGAGATTGGGATTGACCTAGGAGAGCTGTGATTATATAATTAAGACACACACTGTATTGTAGTGATTGTAGAGATGATACCACATACAGAGTTATCATTATATAGTACATGTTCAGTGTTCCTATACTTTTTAGTGCTTTGGCAAATGATTCATATATTTGTTCAGTATACATTAATTTTAAATAATGGACAAATTTATCTTCATGTCTGTCTGAATGGGCTGATTGCGTGTGTATATTTTAGAACATAAATCATGAGAAGTTGTGTAATCAATGGATTTTTGACTGAAGTAGAAAAACTGAGCTGCATTTTATTCAAAATTCATGCGAGCGTTCTTTCAGGGAAGAATTTGAGCAAAAGACACTGTCTTGAAAGAAACTACATCTTTTGCGGCTCTGGTCTTTTAGAGCCTGCGAGTTTACTGCTCATGGGGTAACACACAATTTTTCAAGTGCTGAAGGGTGCTGGTTTCTGACCCCTGGGCATCAGTTGAGGTTATGCCAGCAGATCTGATGCGTTTCATCATTTAAAAACCTTTCTTCAGGAGCTTTTGTCTGGAAGTAAGTAAAATACTATAGCCATACGCTAGTCTTGTATCAAAGTACCATACTTTGTTCCTACTGTTAAAAATGAACAACGTAAGAGGGAAAACACTGAAGTTTGACTGCAGTACTATGGTATAAGAAAATGCTGACCAGGCTTCTTTTATTGTCTCAAGCATTTGCCATTTACCTCTGAGCTCAACTTTCTTCATCCAAATGGTTTATACATTCCTCACAGTGTCTCAGACTACAGTTTCTTATTTGTTCCCTTCCAATCAGTGCCAAAAAGGAGTTTCTGTCCTCGGCTGCAGGCTCTTGCCCTCTTGATACTCCCTGACCTATGGCAGTGACCTGTGGTAGTCCAGGGTCAAAAATAATCTTTCCTCTTGAGTGAGCTGACCTGGTTTGCAGCGTTAACTCGCAGCACTCATGGTAGTTGCACAGAGGAGGCAGCGTAGCCCTCGGAGTGTGAGACTGGAGTGAAGGCCATGAACCAAATGCTGAGGAGGGTCTGGTGTGTCCTCAATAGCAAAGGTGAGCTATTACTCCTTTTCTCCCATCCTTTTCTACTTACCTGGAGCTGGAAATTGCCTGAAAAGATGTTTGTTCTGCCAGATTAGCCTGTCAAACTGGCCTAGAAAATAATAAATAAATAAGGAAAGATTTCTACCAAATCAACTAGCTAAATCAATTTACCCTTTGATTATATGACTGAGAGCCAGTGGATGGAGTGTATAGCTGGTGGCAGACTGCTCCTGGCAGCTCCATTTGTACAAGATACCAGGAAACCTCACCTGGAAGCAGTATTTTTTTTTTCAGGGTAGTATAGTAATTTAAGGTGGTATAAGTCGATAATGCTTACCAAGGAGCAAGTTCTGCCTCCCGTATGTGCAGGTCCTGCTTCCCATACATGCTCAGCTCCACTGCCCACTCCCTTGGGTAGCCAATGCCACTTATATAGTCAAACTATGAAGTGACTCAGGATATTGGTTCAGACTGTAATAGCCTCTTTTTCTTGAATACATGCCCAGGGTCAGTTTCAGAATATAACTTTGCCAATCACAAGTTCTAACACAAAGGAGGTGGCTGGAAGGTATTGCACAGGATAGGTGAGACTGCTTTGCTGGTGGCTCTGAAATTAAACTCTGAGGTTTCTGTCTCATGACATGGGGAGAGGTGACAGCAGTTGATTGCTTCCTCCTCTCCCCTTTGCCACATCCTCTCGATGCTTCTTTCACACCTATTCCAGTGCTTGTCACATACATCCATGGTCTGCTTTGATTTGCTCACCTGGCATGAAGAATAGATGGGTTTCCCCTCGGCAGGTGGGTTGAATCCCCTCATCGAAGGAGATGCCAGAGCAAGGCAGGGGTGAGCTGGATTGCACAGCTGGCAGTGGGAGGCAGAGGCGGAGGCAGCCTTCCAGGTGCTACCTGACTGCTCATGAGGCCGGAGCCAGAGGGAGGAAATATGGATCCTACCATTCTCTCCATCCTTGCTGTTATTTTTGTCTTTCTAGCTGTTTCTTCATAATGCTAGTATTTTTTTTTTTCCTTCCCTCAAAAATGATGACAGCATGGCTGAGAAACTATGTCTCAGAAGTAGGACATAGGTATGAAAGATCTGGTCTCTTCCAGATTTGTGTTTGAAACACTCACATTTTCTATTAATTTTAGGACTTGGTAGTAAATTAAGAAAAGTAAAACCAGCAGAACTAGTATTAAATTAAAACAAACTTGACTGTCTTTTTCTCTGCAAAATAAATGTTACAAAAGCTCAAATAAAATGCATAAAATAGTTCAACAGTTAACAAAATAAAAATCTAATTTACACATGTTAGAAGGAAAAAAAAACAGAAAATAGTGTTTTGCCACATTTATGTACGTTTGTTTTGTCTCTCTCTCCTTCTCTCTTTTTTTTTTTTTTTTAAATAAGAAAAGCTGCTGGTTTGGCAGCTGCAAGGATGACATCAGCTCTTCCATTGTGAAAGATCTGCTTTCTCTTAGACAGCCTCATGACATCTCATCAAGCTTTGGTGATTCAGCTGAATCAAAAACCAACTGAATTTAAGTTTAGATTTTCATAACTGCTAAACTAAACATATTTCTGACCACACAGTCATTGCTGCATGGCCAGTGTTGAAGTAATATTGAAACTTTATATCCCACAGTAGGCTTTTTTTTTTTGATATGCTGAAAGAAAATGTATGTTTTAATTCAGAGTTGTTAAATCAAAATATGTCACTACACACTCTATTATTTTTAATCTCACTTGCTATATTCATTAATGAAGTTTGTAAATTTTATAAAACCTTCTAGACTGCTCATATGGATACTTTTATCTCTTCAAAAGGAAGTTGAAATCTTTAAATAAACTAGAGATATATTCAGATTGAATGTTGACTAGGTGGGGT